AGTCTGTTGTCTAAGATTTTTAACCAGAAGAAATATAATTCATTATCTGAGCTGCATCAGAGAGCTTTAAAAAAAGCTTTACAGAGTAAGAATGGACATCTGGATCTTTTCCTGCGGTTCCTTCTGGGTCTCTCAGTGGAGTCCAATCAGACTCTCTTACGAAAACTACTGACACAGACAGGAAGCTGCTCCTACAACAAAGAGGAAACAGTTCAGTGCATCAAGCAGAAGATCAGAGAGAATCGCTCTCCAGAGAAATCCATCAATCTGTTCCACTGTCTGAATGAACTGGGTGATGATTCACTGATGCAGGAGATCCAAGATTATCTGAAATCTGGAGAAATAAGAGAAACCAAACTCTCCTCTTCACAGTGGTCCGCTCTGGTTTATGTGTTGCTGACATCAGAGCAGAAGATGGATGTGTTTGATCTGAAACAGTTTATTGGAGCACAACATACAGCAGATGAAGTTCTTCAGAATCTGTTTCCTGTGGTTAAAGAATCCAGATCAGTTCGGTGAGTAACACTGAAAACAATCACTACACTTTCAAAACATGATCACTTCTTACCAAAGTAACAAAATGGGTGAAATCTCAGATAATCACATTTCTGGCAGTGAGCAGGAGAGGTGTGTGAGACACACTTACTAAAGCAGCTGAGGAGGTTTGTGTGTTTCTGTGTGAGAGCTGATGATGTAGAGCTTAGTGTGGAAGATGAAGATGAAGGAATGAATGTGAGGGGGTCAAAACTGACAGAAAACAGATTTCTAATGATGTTTATATGTTTGTTTTATTGTCTGAATGAATTACATTTGCATTTGTAAAATTTTCACATTTGGTTTCTTTAATCACAGCTGGTGTCAGTTCATCATTCATGTTCTTTTATCTGTACAGGTTTGCTTATTGTGTGTGACACATGAAGGCTGTGCAGTTATACATTGATTTAAAAATGTTAATTGTCTTATTAAGTAAGAAAATACAGAACATAAAACACTCAGATAGTTGTAAGAAAGTGAAGAAAATGTATAGCCAGGGACAACATTTGGAAAAAAAAAAATTAATATAAAGCTTGTATAATACATACAACATGTATAATATATTCTGATCAGTACACATAATTCAGCAGCTCTGTCCACAAGCCCTGTGCCGGATCTGTCAGAAACAGTGCATAAATATAAGTGAAATGTGTCAGTCACGTCATCAGTCCAGCCTTAGAGCCTGATGTAAGCGCTTGCTAAGAGGAGAAAACGTCTCAGGTTACGTATGTAACCCTGGTTACTCGAGGGAGGACGTGCTTTTATAGCTTCCCGGTCATGACGTCATCCGCCGTGACGTCCCGCTCAGCTATTCGACTGATTTCACATTTGATTCAGAGCGTGGGTCACTGAAGGCATTCCCCTAGCGTTCTCGACGCAGCTCAAGTTCCTGAAGAGGAACATATACATGCAAGCAGATGCTTTTAGCAGATGCTTTTATCGAAAGTGACATACAAATGAGGACAATAGAAGCAAGCAAACCAACAAAAGAGCAACATTACAATACGCAGCACACGTAGCAAGTATAATTTTAATAATAAATAAAAAGAATGAAAAGTAGATAGAATAGAAATAAAATAAAATAGAGAGTGCTAGTGTTAGAGAGCACTACTTATCATATTCTCAGAAACAAGTGACAGAAAGAGCCCTTGAATCACCTATTTTCTTCACGCCCTCTTCAGAGAGGAGAGAACACATCCTCCAGCAGCACTGCTGAGCAGCGTCTGGACAGATCCCATGCTGTGCAGAGACTCCCAGGCCTGTCTTGCTTTGCATATGTCCTGCCAAAACTCACAAGGTGTTCAGCAGAGGAGTAAAATTAATTGATAATATCTGCCTCTACTGCCCACCTAGAAGCCCAGGACAGAAGCTGCCATTTGTTATTTCAGCAGTAATTATTATTATTATTACATTGTTGTTACATTGGTTTCAGTCACGTGACTTTTTTGTTGCGGCCGCCATCTTTAGGACCGTTTGTAGCCTCTCCTTGGTGATCGGAAACCAAAAGAACACTTCACCAACAACGAAAAACAAAGATACTTTAGGATTAGGCCATTATTTACTGTCAAGCGAACTGCTGACTCCACTGAAGTCTAGTGAAAACTTACCAATTTGACGTTTGCTGATAGGCTATTTACATCTACCTCATACACAATCCCTCTCCGTACACTCGGGCCATTTTCAGTTAAATATTCACCTGCTAGAGACTTGTCCATCGGCCCGGATCCATCTGCCGCACTCGGCCTGGATGCTTGCATACTCACTTTCAGATTCTGGGCCGAATCAACCGGACCAGATGCGATGGCCGTAACTCGCCGACACTGCCGCATCCAAGCCGGACTCGGCCCGTTGTGCAGCACGCCAGACTTAGACCAGTTTCATTTCTATATCTACTGTACTGCTCATTAATATTTCATTTTAAATTGATAGCGTTACCTAGACAAAATGTTTACTTTCATTTTAATTATATAGATTATAATACATAAATAACATGACTTAAATCTGTAAACATCTCATTATTATGAAAGCAATTTTAAAGTAGCTAAATATTAAATAACTAGCTTGACCAAGCTGGCATGAGGAACATTTATTTACAAAACAATTTATTTATAAAACCATGTAATTACAGCAAAAAACAGCAGTTATAAAAAAAGTGTAGATAAAATTTTGCAAAATACCCAGCCATTTATATGTACACTTGGACTGTAACATTTAATAAATAAAGGTTAAAACATTGCCAATGTGTTTTTAAATTTTTGGAATTAAACGTTTTATACTTGGTAAAATAAATTAAGCGTTAGTGTTAGTTCTGGTAGGTCACGTGAGTCAAGCTTGCATCATCTGATTCTCAGCTGATCACATCTACCTATAGGAATACGACATCTATCGTGGCAAGCTCTATTCAGTATTATTCAGCAGCTTTTCAGCTTGCTCCGGAGCAAATTACCCTCCTCCATCCCCAGCTTCTCCTTTCGCCACAGTCAGTACTTGGCTTTCTGATATTCCTTGCTAATCAGACTCCTTTATCTTGAATAAAGTATTACACTTAAATATCATTAAGTACATTAATGATATCTGCCTTGTTCTGTTCTGTTAACCCTAGGGTGGTTATTATTGCTGCTCTCCCTGCTCATTCATGACAAGCTGCATGGATAGGCAGGGAGGTTTTTGCTCAGTGTATATTTCAGCAAATTTTGCTTCGCCTAGTAATAACGTCTACAATACAAAAATAAAGGCTGATAAATCCTATTGACCTGAATATAACTGATGGGGTGTTGTAGGCTAACTACAAAACATTGTTAAAAGACATTTGTGGCACATTTAAGAGAAATATTCAGTTATTCCTGTATGTCTCTACATGCTAAGTGAAGAAGCAGCACAACCGTGACTGTGTTTTGTTGAAGTCAGTTACATGTGTTTGGCAGTGGTGAGCACCTGTTCATATAAGTCTGCTTACACAGCAACTGTAAAAGCAGGACACAGCTACTGCAAATGATCTCAGACATATTATATAAATAAAAATAAATTACTCAAACTGCTCACTGGACAAACTGAAGTATGCCAAGCATGACATCTTTGAATTTGTGTTTGAATGCTGTGCTCGTCTCAGGTCTTTATAGCAGCTTTTCACACATAATACATCATTCTAAAACACGGCGCTCAAGTACAAAGAAATTCAGCTTCTAAAAACAGTTTTCTAGACCTTGCGGTTAAAAAAAAAAAAAGCTTCCACTGACCAAGTCTCGCGACCAAAACACTATCAGTGTGAACCCAGTATTCTAATAGTAGCGGGCAGGTTTGTTTACGGTCCGACAAACACGTGAATGGGCCACATATGTTTTTTTTTACTTTGTGCTACGTAATCGCCCCCTTTCGTTACCTCAGCCGCCCGCTCAGCAGTGCTGCGCTAAAGCCGGCTCTGGCTCATCTGCACGTCTTTTAGCATCACTGTCAGCATTTTAAAATGCCTCAAAACTGTTCACAAGCTCCCAAGCATTTGATTTTGGTTGTCATTTGTGGAAATAAATATAAAGATACAGTGTGGAAATACATTTAAAAACCATCATAGACTGTCGTCGGCCAATAGGATTGTTGTGTTTGCACACGTGCTTCAGACACCGGTAACACTGATGAACTTCCCCATAACGTCAGTGCAAGACGCAGTGTCCCGTTCCTCCTCTCAGAGAACCATGGTTACGGTCATAATTTGAGACGTTCTCGGTCTCTTCAAATGAATACACTTAAATCATGGGAAAACACTCCATGGTGACTGCTTTACCATTCGATCTATATGTATCTGTAGACTACATTGTGATTTTTGGTTTCAGTCAGAGTTCTTGTAATCCGGATTTGGTAATCTGAATCATTGATTGAATCTGAATCATGAATCACTGTGAATCACTGAATCATTTTAATCCACAATAAAAAAAATTAACAACCTGGATCTGTAGATTGGGACAATGTGTAATGTGAGCAGTGGTAATTTAACACCAGGGATTTAGCTTTGTTGTACTCACATTTTAACCAGTTTATTATTCTAAATTGTGTCATAAGTTAAGGAAAATGATCGGTACATGAAACATCAGGTTAACTGTCCAGCTGTCGTCAGGTTGATGTTCTGGTTCTGTTCCGGGACTCTTATTTTGATGTTCCTTTCATCCTGTTGTATCTGGTTTCTAGTTTCCTGTGTTTATTTCCTGTGTCTTTTGTTTCCTTGGTTCCTAAATATGTTCTTATTTGTTTCCATAGTTGCTGATTAGTTTGTTACCTGTGTATACTGTAGTTTGGTTCTTAATTTAAAAAAAGAAAAGAAATGTTAAAAGAAAGACTCTTAACACTATCGTTCCGTATTCTTTTCTATTCTATGTTGTTTTTTCTTTTAATTTATTATAAAAAAGAAAAAGAAAAACACCTTGCTACATGTACAGCGTTAGGCTAACCGAGTTTTCACAGCAATTACATATTATTGCCCTTTTGATGGTTTTGATTGCTTCTATTGCCCTCATGTGTAAGTCACTTTGGATAAAAGCATCTGTCAATTTACTAAATGTAAATGTAAATATATTTATCTTGTGCATTTATACATCTTGGTTTCTTTAGTTCATGGTCAGTTATTGTTTATGCATGTTTGCCTGCTGTTTTTTTTTCCGTCTTTGTACCCTTTGGACAATTTTTTTGTTAATTTTAACATACAAACTTGCTGCAACTGGATCCACTCTGCCTTGCTGTGACAGGTGTTTTATGAAGAATTAAATTACTGAAACATATTTAAAATCTAAAGGAAGTCCTTAAATTTTGTGTTATTCCCTTAAATTCTTTCTTAAAACTAAAAGCATCAGATGTATTCACCGATCATTGAGTTTACTTCAACTGTATCACCACAGTCAAAGCTTTCTGGAAGTCATCTGTGCTCCAGATTACAAACCCTACCAGATAAATAAACAATAAGTAAACACATTATCTGCTGTTTTTTTTGTTTACA